ATCACTCACATTGAGTCACTTTGAGAGAGGCAGATTTTCAAGCTTGCTGACAAAACTAAACTCCGTTCAGGCAGAATAATGCACAGAGGCTTAACCTGACCCCTGAATCATCCAACTTATACAATATCACAAGCTCACAAGAGCAGTAAAGCTCTACTGGTTCCAGCCGGCCTCAAGGCCAAAGTGGACATTAAGACGCAGCATGTCCATCCATGCAATGCTGCGCCAATCACAAAACAGTTTCAGACTTCATTCTTTTCTCTAGTCCACTTGATCATGGTCTCTGGAGACCGATAGAGGAAGATGAGTTTGGAGTAAAGCTCTTCCTCCTGCTCCAGTTCTCCGGTTTCCCGCACTAGGAAAATGTCCATGCATAGCTTGAGGATGCGATCCACACATGGCAGTTCCTCAAACATGATAGAGTGAGAGATCTCGCTGAAAAAGCCTCGTACAAATTTGCCAATGACCAAAACCACCGACACATAGAGACCCATGATCCTGAAGGAGGAGAAGAGAAGTATTTGCAAGAATTTAGAGGAATATTCTGGAACATATAAGACTCACACAATCAAGAAATCAAATGTTTTACAATTGGGATTACAGTGAATACAGTAATAGCCTGCACTGAATCTCATGAAAGGAAAAAAGGCTGTGTACCCGTATCCTGCTAGAAAGCCCAAACTTGGAGGGCTAACTTTGTCGTTAAAGATGACCATAGGTAGGACGTCACAGGACCCCTTGCAGTCCGCAATGCTGATGTCCCACCACTCCTGAGCTCCAGTGGTATTCACAGAGGCTTCTCTCATCAGCGACAAAGTCACATCTTGATATCCCTCCTCATCACCTGCCAGGACAAAATAGCCAGAATAACATTTCACCTTTTCCTTACGTGGTGGAATATGTGGTGGAATGTATAGATGTTGATTCCACCCTGTTATGCCACATTCTGCTGTTATGAAAATGGCAACTAATTCATTATATAACAAAATTGGCAACACTTTACAATAAGGTCCCATTAGTTAATGTTAGTCAAGACATTACCTAACGTTAACTATCTATCTATCTATCTATC